CGAGAACATTTTTTCAGGAACTTCGCGTTCGCTGATGTATGTAAGCCTTGACTGCAGCTTTGGAGTCTGATGTCTGCGGCCAAAACTTTTTATGACGGATTTGGCTTTGTACGTTTCTGCCATTTATTATGCTCTATGATCGTCGACTTTGCCCCTTCCCACCCCATAAAACACATTGAATATTCGAGTCAGTCGAATAGATATTTCAGGCTTACAAGATTGAAACGGGACATCTTGGCATGTCGGCTTTTAACGCGCTCTTTCGAACTTGCCGAGCTTTTGTTTCCGTCTGTGTACCGTCCGGGTGAGTTTTTCCTTTTGTATGATTTGTCAGTGTTATTTTTTCTAAATTTAATTATATAGTTGCTCAGTTAGATTTTAGGTTTGCTTAATTTAGCACCTGTAATATAAAATGTGATTACCTGGCAGCATTTTCTTTCTATTCATTAGTATCGTAAATCAATATGTCGCATGCAGGTTTGAGGGTCGCTGCCGCCGGAAATTATGTTTCGTGTTTGCTTGCACTGAAGGCAACATTTTAATTCGTGTGGCTCACTGTTGAGCACTGTATAGCAAACTTGTTTAGAACATTTAACTACCTGTAGGAAGTTTGTTGTACTATGGTACCACACAGCGTTATGCCATCTTGAACGCCTAAATACTCTAGCATTTTAGGATCAGCATATCAATGCACTCCCTGCATGTTGCTTGCACTTGAAGGCATAGTTAATTGTAGCTTCAAGAATGCTCCATGGTCTAATTTTGCCAACTATATTTTAAATTTGTATCAGTTATGCTTACCTGCAGACTATGGGTCTCGTAGGCACTACGAGTTTCATGAGTCCAGATAGTCTCCCAAATTAAGTGGGTCGCGCCATCTCTGTACATTACTTAAGTAGGCAGCGCGTTAGGGTTTAGGACCCACTAGGATTAGGGCATCACTAGCTGTAAACGGCAATCGAGAGAAAAATGAATATTCTGTTGATCCCCTATTTATAAGAAATGTCCTGCGATCGATCGCGTGGCCTGTATATAGGAAGTGATCACTTTC